GAAAAGCGATTGGTTGGATAGATCAGAAGGAGGGAGTGTAAGTGAAAGGTCTCGAGTTCGAAACTTCTCACATATTTTATATAAAAAAAAAGAAAAATAATTAGGTGTGTTATAGTCGTTGCATTCAAAAACACTTAGAAAATCAAAATTGGCTTCAACTTATTGATGTGGACAATTACATGCCACAAATTGATAATTTAGAGAGAAAAATGCATGGTTTAAAGGTGCATATTGCAATTAGCCCTAATATTCAACCTGTCTTTTATATGGCTGTTATAAAATGCTGCACAAAACTGCACTAAAGGCTGTTAATCACGATGTATAGTCTTGACGGGAAATGTATTAAATCAACTTGTCAAAAGTAAATCGGCAACCAGAAAGGATATAAGATCCTTCTTTAGCTCGTAGGTTGGAGTCAAACCCCAACTCCTACAGTAAAAATAGAGCTGGCAATTTGTCCCAAGTCCCAATGGGCTACCCATGCCCAAAGGAACTTTGGGCGGGATGGGTATTATAATTTGGTATTGGGTTTAAGTTGGGACACATCCCAACTATACCCATTAATGAATGGGAAAGGATGGGAAATACTTGGGTACCCATTGGGCTCAAATGGCAAGGGCTCCGTTTGGATTAGCTGTTTTTGGTAGGTGTTTTTGAAATATTTTATTGTAGCAGTGTATATGAAAAATATTTACTATAAAATTTTTTTGAAATATTTGATATATTAATATGGATGGGATGTTTCTTGAGTTATTGTATATTACTGTAACATTGTATTTGAAAAACTTATTTTTTGAAAAAAAAGTCAATCCAAACGGAATCTTAGATTCAAAAATTATCTTTAACAATTTTTATAGTTATACCAGCGAATATAATCTAGTAGTCTTCCTAGTCATTATCCACAAGAATTTCCAACATTTCAGTTAGTTTAGACCTGTCATCCTTGGACAATGATAAGGATAAATATTCAACATCCTAAGGACCTTGGCCATCTTGATATATGTTGGAATATGGTTGTATATCTATCTTTTCCTTTATTTGTTAATCCAATTTTTGGTGGGAATCTTGAGTATAAAGCACTTGCATGTTTATTTAATAAAACTAAAAGAAATTTAATAAATCAAAAATATTAAAATTATATTAAAAAAAATGAATTAAAGGAAAAAAAATATGTAGAAAATGGATTTGGGTATTGGGCGGGATCAATCTAAACCCATCCCAAAATGATCCCGCCCAAGTTAGTCCCAAAACACATATGGGTAAGGTTGGGCCCAAACCCATATGACTCGGTTCCATCTCAAACCCAAGCAAATCCCGCCCATTCCGCCCATTTTGCCAACTCTAAGTAAAAATAATATAATGGGTGTGCTAATGTACCCGTTTGGTATGGATGGGCCTTCTCTGTAGTCCGTTATACAATTTAATTGGATTCCCCATCTCTCTAGAGTAGGATGGAATAGAAGTTGAGTGTGGGATTAGAAAATTAATGTCCTTTACGTAATCTGGTTTAGTGTTCTAGTACATTTTGTTAAGGTGCCAGAACCTATAGTGATCTCCCAATCCGCTCATCAACTTAACAGCCTTCTCATCTTTCCGCATTTCGAGTCCCAAAAGAAGCAATTTGAAAGCGTTGAAACCAGGAACCGTAGCTGCTAAAAACCCTCCTTGATTACCAGAACTGTCAAAAATCATAATAAATTAAATTAAACGCCATTTCTATTCTCAAGCAAATAAGAGTGGCCTCTTTTCTTTTCTTTTTTTTCCCTCTACTTTGTTAGTACGTAAATTTAAATTACCTGAACAGTGGCCAGCAAAGCATGAAAACTAGCCCCATGCTAATATGCAGAAGCTTCCCGTAAGTATTCTAGAAAGGAAAACTCCAAAGAATAATGAAAAAATTTCCTTCGCTCTTTTCTCTTTTTCTCAATACAAAAGTAGTGCTTTAAAATGGCCCTTTCTTTAGAAACTTTTGATACATTGTAACCTTTTAATCAGTTTAAATGTCTTTAATGTTCAATGATTGAAAGTGTGGCATGGATTCTCGTTTGTGAACAAGGCTTAGATTCTTGCCATTTCAATTCCTCCTCCTTCGCAACTATTTTTCAAAAATTAAAAACAAAATGATTGCAATGCCCTGCGTACCTGATCAAGAAGCCCCCTATTATAAATCATTGTCCAGAATGGAGTGGTATAGAGGAGAATACAACGGGTCAATGCAGTAGCAACAGCATCTCCAACAATTGGGTGCTCTCTAAACATCTTGAAAGCCACCAGGGCTGTGCTCATATTCATGGAAATTCTTGGACGTCTTTGATATATTCATGAAAGTATAGCTGAATTTATAATAGACACGTACCTATAGTTGTTAAACAAACCCATTTAACTAAATTTATCCATACCCGCCCATGAATAGATGGATATGTGTATGTTAAATTTTTGTATATGGGTATAAATGGGTTACCCAATAATACCTATTTATTAAATAGATATTATTGGGTAATCCATCAATAGATGGGTATGGGTATGTTAAATTTTTGCATATGGGTATTAAATGGGTATTATTGGGTAATCCATCAAACCCAATTAACCAATTTAGAATTGTCTTCCCACAAATCTCCTCACTTCCCCCACCCATTAACTTGCTCTTTTCTCACCATTACCAATTTATGACAAGTTTTAGTCTCTTTTCTTATTTCTCCAAAATGAAATTTTAAATTTACACACGAAAAAATGCTAGAAGTTCAAAATTTTTTGATTAAGTTTTTATGTTAACTTTTGTAGTACTTAGTTCAAAATTTTATATTCTTATTATTTAATTATTAAATAATATGCAATTTTGCGACATAGAGTACATATGGGAAAAAAATTGATAATTAGGTTTATTGAGCATTATAAATAAATATTTAAAACTAATGGTGAGTGCAAAGGATGGTATAAATTGATAACTTAGTTTGCAAAAATGAATTTAAATAAATTTACAAAAAAGTTAAAATAAATGAGTTATGAATGGGTAATTGGGTTATCCAATTCATTTTTTGACTTACCCATTTATACCCATATAATTAAATGGGTATAAATGTGTTGACTCACTTATATCCATTACCCATTTTACCCAATCTAAACCCATCAAAATCACCCATTTTGACACCTCTACAAGTACCGGGCGAAGTAAAGAGTTGGCCATATGAACAGGGAAGTTGAGGTTGAGTGGCTTGGTGGCCTCCTCATATGAGTGGAGAATTGACCGTACGCTTATCCTTTTTTATTTTTTAATGAAAAACCCTACAAATTAAAAGGCAATGGCTGCCTAAAAATTGTTGACCTCCTCTCCTTTTTTGCCCGAAATCATGAAAATTAGAAGAATGATTGAGTCAATGATTCAAAGAAAATATACTAGGGAGGACAGTTCGGTTGGGTAGTAAGATGAAAGGGGATGTAAATAGGAGTCAAGTTAGGACCTTGACTTACTAAAAAATAGGTTCAAAAAAAAAATACCATTAGCTTCTAGGGATAATTTGGAAACCTTTCCTTAGAATTCTCATAGTACACCTAGACCCTTGAGATTTCCAAAATCTTACCTATTTCCCTGGTTAGTTCGATAAGAGAACATGGCCCAATTAAAGGTTACAAATTGACAATAGTATACTTGCAATCTTAATTAGCTAATTAACCATAAAGCCCAAATATTTTCAACCAAAATATCTAATATTGTGAAAGTCAAATTGAACACTCTTATCATATTATAAAAATTAGAGATTTATCATCCTTTAGAAGATGTAGATCCATATATTTTAACAGTAAACCGACCAATTCCAAACACATATTTTTTTTTAGCAAGTATACTTTAAATTGTATTCAAAACAAAATAATCTTTTGATACATGTAGTTTGCATATAGCCTACACTTATGAAAAAAGGAAAGTTATAGCTCACTCAATATTAAAATATTAATCTACAAATAATCTCTCAGAAAAACATTTAGAAACTACCTATACTATCGATTGGTTTATGTATCCTAGTGCCCCCGGAGCTCAACCCACCCCTCTGTTTTTCTTGTTATTTTTTTAAAAACCATGCAGGTTTTGTGTGGTAGTTGAACTTTGAAGTATTATGACCCTCATCAATGGTGTGTACAATTGTGAATTTTAATGACGAGATTTGTGGTAATTGAGCAAATTGCTTTAGTTTATAAAGTTGGAGGTAAATCATTTTTATTGTCAAACATAATTTTATTTGCAAAAGAGTTATTTGATATCGCCTGATAAGATTTTCTCCAGGAGGTAGTACAATTCGCATTACCAGGCTGTAAAAGCGTGACTTTCAGCAATACAAATCTAAATTCATTGGTACATATATTTCCTCTCACAAAGATAAATTCTTGAAACAAAGAAAATTGTTTCATGGTAATTATGAAGTAGATTTACAACCTCCGATCAAAAAAGGTGGGAAACACATCTATGCTTTTACCATCACAAATAACATCTATTGCTTTGTATTTTTATTTGGGGTGGTAAGGTGTAAAATTCCACATTTGAATAGATACGTTTTTAATTTTTATTTGCATAAGTAAATCAACATTCCATAAACATAAATATAAATATAAAGCACTAATATGAAATAGGAACATGATAAACGAAAAAGGGAAGTGGAAAAACCAAATGCAGGTAACAGCGTAAGTATTCTCGTGATAAAAAATCATAAAATACATGGAATAATTAGTTTTCTGTTAGAAAAATCCACCATTAAAATGCCCTGGAAAGAGTAGGTATCTACAATAAATATACAAGTGATTCTCATGATATATATATATATATATATATATATATATATATATATATATATATATATACACACATACACACACATATATATGCTTGTTTATGTGCTTGTCTGCGTTGTGTCCAGGTTGGTAGAGGGAAAGAGATTGTGGAACACTAAAGAGGATGCATGTTCAATTATTTATGAATTGCGAATCATTGATAAAGATTATTAAGTTATTCTATGTTTCTAAAGGATTTACTACCGTTTGTCCAGGGTCTCATACCGTTTGACATAGAATTCACAGCTGTTGAAAGAGGACTAATCCTCAGATTACATCTTGAGATGCAAAACAAAACAGAAAAACACTGAATACTCGAAGCTTAAATACACGAAAACACAACTAAACTACTATTGGGTTCTCGAGGCACCCTGGACAACAGCAGCAGCAACCACTCTGATAGTCGTAGGCCTACCAAATTGAAAGATAACAAAGTACCAAAGTTAATAAATCTTCTCTAGTGAAGTGCCAATTTCAAAAAAAAAAAAAAATTAAAGTTCAAGATTTATAACTTTCTAGTCTGAAATACACAACTTGTCAAATCTTTACTCCTTGCAGTGGTGGAGGAGGTAGAAAACTAATCTAGTATGGAACTGTTCTAAAGCATATAAAACTATTGATGGACATTAGATCAATGAGCTATTATCTTTGTAATCAGGTGTAACTAAAAAAAATTCAATAAAATTCATAACATGGAATTTAATGAAACATAGGAAACAAAATGTAAATATGAATAATAGAAGAGAATTATTAGAATTCAAAATTTTGAGACAGTCGAAACAATTGCCAATAGAAAGGTACAACCTACATAAAGCACATAAAGTTTTGTTATCAAGTTTTTTGGGATCGAAAATTTCAAAAGTTAAGGGAATGAAAATTTTGGTCTACAATCATGTAATAGGTTATTGGGAAAAAAAATTTCTTTGAAAGCTACCAATTTGATGTTAGAATCTTGTTGGTAAGCTATTTGGTATCAGGCATCTACTACTTTGTACTCCTGTCTATTAAAATTGGTATGCTATTCTTTTGTTGATATAACTTATTAAGATTCTTTGTTTGAAAAAAAAAAACAAACTTATTGAGCTATAATTTTCTTGTATTGGGCAGGCGCATAAAATAAATCCTCAGAAATATTTGGAAAAAACAAATTACGAATCAAAATAGGTTGCAAATTATGAATGTTAAGTTCTAATTAGTTCTCTACGATCAGCATATAAAAGCAAAAAGAATAAGTTAGATGAAGGAATGTCAACAAAAATGTGAAATTTTCAAAGAGCAAATTATCAAAGATAGTATGCTACGGACATTGTGGCTCCTTAGTGTGTGATACGAAAAACAGAGTATGAGTGCTTTTATAGGAACTTACTCAACGGAAATTCCTCCGCGGGCGAGTAGTCTTTACCCAGATTTTGTCACAGGCACTTTCTATAAACTTGAAGTATGCATAGCGCCATGACTTCTTGAAGAGAAGGATTCCCAAAACTCCTGACAGCCCGGCAGCAAAACCCGGTCCTATTCCAGCATAAAACCAAGACCAATCAGATTCCCTGTGGCCTTCATCATCATCAATAGGCCCATTTTTGGTAGGCAATTTGTGTTCCCAGCAGTTGTTTGGGAGCGGTTTGCCACAGAGTCCACTGTTTCCTTCATAGATGGATGGATCGGTCAAGGTTTGAAGCTGATTTCCTGATGGTATTGGCCCTGAAAGTTTATTGTGTGACAAATTGAGAGAGTTCAATGAGTACAAATCAGATAAGCTTTCAGGGATTGCACCGAAGAGTTCATTCATTGATAGATCAAGTGTTTCAAGTTGCTTCAAGTTGCCAATCTTCTTGGGGATCCTTCCAGTCAAATGATTTTGTGAAAGATTCAAAACTTGCAATTGAACCAGTTCCATTATCTCATCAGGGATCTCGCCAACTAAATTATTTGCTGAGAGGCTTACGGAATTAACAAGCCGAAGGCTGTCTTGTGAATACTGAACTTCTCTTCCTCCCTTAATGTCTTGAAGGCTTTCTACTGAATCAATGGTGTAACCTCCATCTAGACCTGATACCATGGCAGTAATGTTGTTAAAGCAGCGAGGAATAAATCCACTCAAGTTATTATGTGCTAAGTTCAGCACTTGAAGATGTGAGAGTTGGCAGAGTGTATCGGAAATGGGTCCATGGAAGTTATTTGACTGAAATCTTAGAAACTTTAACTTTGATAACCTATCCCCAATCCAAGCTGGTATAGTATCCTTCAGTCCATTGTCACCGAGATCAAGAATTAGCAAATTGCTCAGATGCTGCATCGAGGCAGGGAGCTTCCCAACGAATTTATTTCCATTCAAATGCAGATAAGAAAGTTGCAACAAGTTACCCAGTGAACTCGGAATTTGACCGGATAGACTGTTATTTTCCAAGAATAGGTACTGCAGGTCTCGCAAGTTTCCTAGACACAGAGGAACTCTTCCGGACAGATGATTGTTGGATAGATCTAGAGATTCTAAATATTCCAACTTGCACAAGTCTTCAGGGATAGTACCTGTGAAACGGTTATCATTCAGAAAGAGAGACCACAGCGGAATTTGTGAAAATTGTGTGAAAGATCCAAAAAATGAAATATCCAACGGAAACGATTTGAGAGATCCGTCCAATTTGTTAGAGCTCAGAGATATTTCTCGAAAAGGATAATATGAAATATCAACGGAAACTATTTGACTATTTGTCGAATATTTAAATTTGTCCATACCTGTGAAACGGTTATCATTTAGTGCGAGAACCACCAGCGCATGTTGAAGCTGCGGAATATGTCCAGTAAGAAAATTGTGTGAAAGATCTAAATCTTCAAGCTGCGGAAAAGATTTGAACTCCAAAGGATTTCCAGTTAGGCTGTTGCTGGAGAGATCTAATGACGTAATATTATGACAAAGCACTCGAAACCAGCTGGGTATGGTATCTGAAATGCTCGCGTTCCGCATGTCTAACTCCTCAACCTCCTTCTGCGTCCGAAGCCAAGCTGGAAACCTGGGTCCCACAATGATGGATCCCATCCGAATTTCATGGAGTTGAAAAGGAGGAACCCACGAGGAGCTCACGTTCAGCGCGAGTGAGTTTACGGATAGGCCCAGTGACTTCAGCTCTCGGAGTTTCGCAAAATGGTCTTCAGATAGGACACCAGTTACTGAATTGTAACCAACGTCAAATGCTTGTAGCTTCGTTAGCTGCCCAAGATTGGTCGGTATGGTACCATTTAAGCTGTTACCAGACAATGATAGGTTAGTTAATTTTGAAAGCGGCCTTATTTCACTTGGTATTGACCCTTGCACATTATTGTGACTCAGATCCAAATAAGTAAGATTTATAAGTTGGCCTATTTCACTTGGTATTGACCCTTGCAAATTATTAAAACTCAGATCCAAATAAGTAAGACTGCTTGCATTACAAAAGTGGTTTGAAGATAGATCGAGATGAACGAGAGAGGTCATATGGTCAAATAGATCATGAATTGAATCAAAAAGATTAGTACCAACAAGACGAAGATCATGGAGGCCAGTAAGATTACGGAGCCAAGGAGGGGCCATGTAGTTGTTGAAATTATTTCCACTGAGATCAAGGAAAGCAAGAGATGTGAAATTGACATGTGAAAGATGAGGATGGATGAAGAGATCACAACCATTCAAGTCTAGTGTTGTTAGTGAAAGAAGCATGTTAATTGACTATAATCCATCTTGAGCGGCTGCAAGGTTCAACTTAGACAGGACTAGACCTTCTAGAGAAGAGAGCCCAGCAATCCACCCGAGATCCTTAGTGCTCAATGAATTCCACCCAAGATCTAAATACCGTAAATGTGAGAGGTTTCCTAAATGGTGGGGAATTTCACCATCAAATCCTGCACTTGAGAGATTGAGGTATCTCAAGTTTTTCAACAATCCCAAGAATGCAGGAACTTGGATTCCTGAAAAATCATTTGAGCTCATGTCCAAGTATCGCAAATTGGTCAAATTGACCAAAGATGGACTTAATTGGCCTCCCAAGCAATTTGTGCAGTGATAATCATCATACATTGTACCGTGTAGATCAAGTTTCAAAACACTACCACTGATTTTGTGGCAACCAACTCCTTCCCATGAACAACAACCTTCTCCAATCCAAGATGACAGACGATTTAATTCATCTTTCAATCCATGTTTGAGTTGAAGAAGGGCACGTCATTCACTTTCAATACAAGTGACATTTGAATGGTGATAAGCTTGTTTGCTGCTACCAAATGGGAATTGGCTAGTGATAGGAAAAGAACTGAATAAGAAGAGTAGAAGTAAAGATGAAGAATTACAAAGAAGATGACGCTCCATTGGAGAAAGAGCCATTTGTGTTTTAACTCGTGATTGTTTGTGTACTTAAATAGTGGTTGGTTGGTTGGAGAAAATTTTCTTGCTTAAGATCATAGCTATTGAATGAAGGACCAAGGAAAGGTTGAATTGATGCATGAACGACCAAAGAGGTTATTGATATATTTTGCAGTTTCCTTTTGAGGTGGAATCGTGGAAGTATTGCATTTTTAGCATCTGCTAGGACCATGGCTATGTATCTAACTATGACCATTCAAAAGTTGCCGCAATTGGAGAAAGGAATTTGGCTATATTTCAGCCTAGGCATGTCTCCATTGGAGAAAGAGCCACTTGTGTTTTAACTCGTGATTGTTTGTGCACTTAAATAGTGGTTGGTTGGATTTAAGATCATAGCTATTGAATGAAAGAGCAAGGAAAGGTTGAATTGATGCATGAATGACCAAAGAGGTTATTGATATATTTTGCAGTTTACTTTTGAGGTGGAAGTATTGCATTTTTAGCATCTGCTAGGACCATGGCTATGTATCTAACTATGACCGTTCAAAAGTTGCCGCCTACCTATCCAACTGGGAGTCTGAGAATGGACCAAAGTCTACTGACCAGTAGCAACTTTTATGACAAAATGCATCATAAGAGACAGTTAGTTTCAAAAGGTCAAAAAGAAAGTAATACTGCGAGACAATTCTGAATTAATCATGCCTAGAAGGGTCGGCACTATTGATGATTAAAATAATTATAATAACTGCTAGTACTGAATTTTGGATCATATCTTTAACAAGATATTCATGCATTGTTGTTCCCATCATCCAAGAAAAAAGAAAATTTTTTTAATTAAATAGAACTTTTAGTACAATGACGTTTTAACATTAGATAATTTGACACAGTTGACGCTTAATCTAATAAAACTAAGTTTAGTGTCACTTAATGTAGTTGGTATTAGTTATGCAGGATTATCGGAATAGTAGGAAACTCTTCTTAAATTGTATGTATTTATTGAGTTGAGCCCCATTTTTTTTAATGAAAAGACCAAAAAAAAAAAAAGTAGTGGTTAGTGGAAAAATATAAAAGAAAAGGAAGGTTTGAAAATATGACACACACACACACACATGTGTGTGCGTGTTTCCATTGTTGATTATCTCTTTGCTTCTTTGAATCTAATTTTAAAATCTTAGCATCTAGTGCATCTTTTGACCATTTCAACCTGATAGAGTTTTTTCTGAAATGATAAAAAAAAATGGATACATAAAACATATAGGTTTCAAGGAGATGAGGCTTATGTCCATTGTTTTGGTTATTCAAAATCTTCATACTTTCTTTTCAGTTATTTGAATTCTTATTTTGCTCCATATACCAGATTATACCTCGTTTGTACAAGTACAAATGAGTTGTTTGTAGTTCTTGATAATAGGGTTTTATAAATGCATAAAATAGTTTGGTGGTTAAAAATTTATATTAATAGATTATATATATATATATATATATATATATCTTGTTGCTTTGATGCATATACACATGTTTGCTACTGTTATGAACTTCATTAGTTGCTAGAATAGCACACAAGGTAGCTTTTGTTGGATCCATCCTATATAATTTAGGATCAGAAAAATATCAGCAAGATAAACTTAGAAGATAGTTGCCATATGACGTTACTTACCCTTCCATGGATTGATTGAATCCTTATATGTAGTTACTTTTCAAATAAGCAAACTTTACTTGAGTCTAAACTGCAAACATGGTTACGTTTGGTTTCAGAACACCTGTAAGCTATTCCAATATTTGTAATTGCATTTTTGACATTATGTGCTGCAGAAGCATATTGAAGTTTTCAATTCCTACTAGCTCAAGCCGGCCAGAAATTAAGGCGACGGTCTATATAAAACTAGCTAATTAAATTGCAATACTTAATTTCCTCAGCCTAATTACTGATCTGAACTGCATTAAATAGCCTTGCGCTGTTCCATTGGCCATTGCCAAATCGACAAACTGAACATTCAGATTCTCTTTGATCAGAGAGCTCTACAGCTTTGCTGGTTCTGAAATGTCATCATCATCCCTATCTGATCCTAATGATCTCACAGACTTTGTTGTAAAACAAGGCAATGGGGTCAAGGGCCTTTCAGAAATAGACCTCAAAACCGTTCCGAGGCAATACGTCCAACCCCCAGAAGAAAGACTGGACAAGAATCAAGTAGTGGATGATGAGTCAATACCAGTGATTGATGTATCCAATTGGGATGACCCGAAAGTTGCAGCCTCCATCTGTGAGGCTGCATCCAAGTGGGGTTTCTTCCAAATCGTCAATCATGGGATTCCACTTGAGGTTCTTGACAATGTCAAGGAGGCTGCTCACAAGTTCTTTCAGTTGCCAACTGAGGATAGGAGGAAGTATCTCAAGGAAAATTCTCCTACTCCCACAGTGCAGTTGAGCACTAGCCACAGTCCTTCAGTAGAAATGGTTCTGGAGTGGAAAGATGTTCTGATACATTTTTATGTGCCAGGAGATGAGAGTACAAATTTATGGCCTCCAGTTTCCAAGTAAGCAAATAAGTTAGGAGTTTTTCTCATACCTAATTTTGGCTTTTCTTCATTAGCCAAGTGGTGAGCAATGACCGTATGTATAGGTTCGTTAAAAAGAAGCAATATCTTTTGATAATAAAAAAAAAATCAATCGGATAAGAAATTTATTGGAAAAATAAAATAGAACAATAGTTGAATCACCGAAGCTCTAATTTTCAAAATCACAAAGACAACGGAAAAGCCTGATATTTTTGAAAAATCAAGAGAGTGTTCACTTTTTCAGGGACAGGTATACCTAAAATTTAGATACAAGGTTAAGATTATATTGAGATTGATTTACATTAGAAACGCTGTCAATGATTTGTAGACGTCTGTAACTTACAGCATCTGTAATCTTGATATTTTCCTTGTAAAATTAGCCATCTAGACCACCTCTGTTTGATTCGACTCTCTTGTTCCTGTTTGATTTGACTCTTCTGATTTGTTGACACATAGAATCTTGTCCAGCAATTCGGTCTAAATACACACTCTAATTTATTTCATAGAGATCAAGTTTTGGAACACATAAAGTGGGCTAATGGAAGTGCTGCTGAAGGGACTGAATGTGGAGGAGTTTGATGAAGAAAAAGAATCTCTCCTGACGGGAGCCTGTACACTCAGCCTTAATCACTACTCTATCTGTCCGAACCCAGAATTGAGTTATGGAGTTGGCCCTCATTCTGATATTTCGAGCATCACTATCCTTCTTCAAGATGATGTGGGCGGTCTCTACGTTCGAGCAACAAGAGCTGGTCAATGGATCCTAGGCGACAAGTTGCAAATTGCGAGCAACGATCGATATAAGAGCATCGAGCATTGTGTGATTCCTAATGCAGCAAAAAACAGGGTTTCTGTGCCTATCTTTGCTTCTCCTAAAGCTGGAGGAGTTGTTGGTCCTTTGCCAGAAGTCCTGAAGAATGGAGAGAAGCCGATTTACAAAGACGTTCCCTGGTCAGATTACATGAAACACTTCTATAGCAAAGGACATGATGGAAAGAAGACAATAGAATTTGGTAAAATATGAAGTTCATCCCATAATTTAATAAATAAAATAAAATAAAATCTCTCTGGAAGCATGAGTGAGTGAGTGTGTGTGTGTGTGTTTTCTGGTACGCATCAGTGTTATCCACCATTTCGACACCCTATCCAAAAATCTTTGTAATGACAGCACATTGGCCCTATTTCTTGCTAATTTGCGGCTACTGGTTGAACTTCAATCATACTATGAGTATACAAGATATCTCAAAATATGGTGCACACTATCCAGTGCTGAAATTTTGTGTTGGCCAACTTTATTGCAAGCTGTGTAGTGAAAAATTATGGATACTTCAGTCATCTCTAAAAAAGTTATAGAAGATTTAGTCAATTATTGGATTACTATTTTGATGGTCACTACTAGAATTTCAGAATAAAAGAGGATTTTCAGTCATTGCCCAAAATTAGGATATTGGAATAATTTCATGGATAAGGAAGTAGCAAAGACAACATTAACCAATAGATAGAGTATCAAATACACCACTGGTTTCAAAGCAGCTTGACCCTGGGAAGAAACAGGACCTATTTTTCGACAAATGTTATGCAACATATAATTCTTGAACAATGTTTTTTTGAACAGTACATCACGAATCTTAGAAATATCATGAACTCCATTTCTAGAATCCAAATTCAGACTTCTTAAAGTATTAGATTTAGGAATGTTCCCATTGAGGGTTGCGCCAACACTCATGATCTGGTCCTGATAGCAGAGCTGGTTGAGCTAAGGTACTTGGCTCCCCGGTTTTGTACAAAAGAAATCCCATCAGAAATTGCTAATCTCTGCAATCTTGAAAGTTTGATTGTGAAAGAAGCAATTGGTGAGGTGATTCTACTGGAGGCTATTTGGGATATGGAAAGATTGAGGCATATTCATATCATCAGTGCTTTTTTCCGTTTCCAGCACTACAGTCAAGAATCTTTTGATAAAAACCCCTTTGGAACGAGTAATTTGAAAACCATTTCTACTCCTTCTCTAAATCATGGAAGTAATGTTTCAACGATCATGTTGGGTAGGCTATCTGGGCTGCAGAAACTCAGATGCATATTTACAAAATGTTGGGATCATTGCAACAGCTTTCCAGAATTGAGCTGTTTGAGTCAACTTGAATCTCTTAAAGTTTGCTTCTCTGGTAAGGTTCATAGTCCTTCCAAGTTTAGCTTTCCTGCAAATCTCAAAAGGTTGATAGCATCAAGTTTTCAACTACCATGGAATGAAAACTCAGGCATTGGAAGACTTCCCAACCTTGAAGTTCTCAAATTATTAGACAGAGCATTTGAAGGGCAACAGTGGGAAATGAATGAGGGAGAATTCCAAAACCTGAAGTTCTTGAAATTAGATTTGCTGAACATTATAACATGGATTGTGTCTAGTAAGCATCTTCCCAGTCTTGAGCAAATTGTATTGCACAGATGTAAACACCTTCAAGAATCCCTTCAGGTTTTGGAGAAATTCCAACACTAGAGGTTATTGAGATGAGGGGGTGCAGTCCCTCTGCCAAGGATTCTGTCAAGCTGATTCAGAGAGCAGACTGATTTAGAAAATGATCAGCTTGAAGTCTACATCTAAAATTCCACGTTGATCTTTCATATCTACATTGAAGGTAAACTAGTGACGTAATTGCATCTAAACATCTTGCCTCTCTCTCTCTCTCTCTCTCTGTAATAAAAAACTGTTGCTGCTATGCACACCATTAATAGAGAGGAATATTTTCTCAATTTTGTGTTTTTGGTTGTTACAGGTTCTTTTGCCAAACCTGCTGTTCTCGGGTTTATCCATGCATAATTTGTATTAGAGATCATTACATGCTTTTATCCAGCCTTGAGAAATTTCTTCAGTTGTAATTACTATAGCTTGACTCAATTAACGTCCATCGAATACTCCTTGAACACAATTTCTAAACACCTTTTTGTTTCTACAGTAAATCCTTCTGCAATGCAGTGTCATCTCCTCCTGGACAGTGATCACTTCATCCCTCCAAAATGCTCTACATAGTGGAAAAGCGGTTTTCAAAGAATCCAGTAGTTTGTCCTGGCTCGGTTCTGATATGATAATGCAACCGTCAGCACCATGAAGGTGGATCAAACTTACTTTAAGCTTAACACAAACACTTCGAAGTGTTAATCCATCACAGATGACAATCAGAACACAAATCACAATCATCGAAGCCTAGTGGTTGGGCAGTTTCATCGAAGTAAGACAAATGTTGGTATTGCTTCGAATTTGAGCTGCAGATGACCAAATTAAGTGAAAATAATTGCTGACACAAGACAAAATTAAGATAGATAATCTCTCTCTCTTCTCTGGTAGATACAAAAGTTGTACATCAGATAACAATAAAGGTAACTTTGCCTCTAATAGGATGATGGAGTGAAATCGATATGAACAACAAAAATCCTTCAACTAATCTAAAAAGGAATTTCTGCATAATCATCCTCTAGAGAAGAAAAAAATCATTATCATTACTATATAAAAAGTATGAATGTTGGTATTGGGTAGTGCAAGTGTAAGCACTTTTTTATCTTAGTTTTTGTTATTCCTAAATTACCCTCATGCCTTTTAATTAGAATTATTGCATTTTAATGTGGCACTAATTAAAAGAAATAAAACACTCCAATTGATTACATTTTAATGGTATTGGTAATTATAATTAAAAATTCCTCATTAAAAATTATTTGCCTACCCTTGGACTCCATCTCCTATTATTATATGTATCAAAATTTCTTAATTGAAGCATGAAAAATTCCTCATTAGTCATTAGTTGAGATTATTAAAAAAATTCAATTTCAAAAAATAGATACTCTCTAGAAATGGAGAAACATACAATGACAAGAAAACCCTTATTCATCTGTATATCCTCACACAAATATCACAAGTAAATTTTACAATTATGCACTTTTACCAATATGAAGAATTTTTCATGTTGCACCCAATGAAATTTCAATATACAAAATATGATGACACCTTTATAACTGAAATAGCAGTATTAAACTAGAAAAAAGAAATCTAAAATAGCACCATACAAACCACTATTATCATTAATAGCAACTGATCAAAACAAGAAAAACTGAAATAAAATTGAAAACTATTTATAAAATGACATAAAGTAAATAGCAAATGAATTAAAAAGCTAAAATACAATTCAAATAATACCAAAGACAACATCCAAATCGCTGATGTCCAGGGAAGACAAACATTGTTATTGACAATAATATAGTAATGCTTCATTTGTATTGGTTTGAGCAAACCAAATCCATCCATCAAGTCAGAAACTATCTCCAATGATAAAATAAGGATTATAATAAGAGTAAATATAAAATGAAAATGATATCCAAATTGTTTTTGGTGATATCCAAAATACCATTATTTTTCTAATGATTACATATATTTATTGTATTGCAATATTAGTGAATAATGGAAGCGATTATGAAATGAAAAGCTTTAAAATTAAGTAAATTTCGTTTATGGTGAGAATTGTAATTAGACAGATTTAATGCTCTCCAATAAGTAATAATAATGATAGCGGTTATGGATTAAAAGTTGGCAAATAAAAACTAAAACACTGCAATATACAAAAAAATAATATTAAAATAATTAATTAGCCACAATTCTCATTCCAATTTCATGATCATCAAAAAAACTAATATTAAAATAAAAAATATTGTCCTCATATGAAAAAAGTAGACTTGTTGCTCTTGCTTCGCATTGGATTGTGCTAAAAACATGAATAAAAGAAAAGGAAAATAGAAAAACCCCAACTATCTCTATCTATAAAATTTCAATTGTTAGAATGTACAAGCCAAAAAAACTTTACGTGGTAGATCATTTATACTCTATTATTGACAAAAATAAAATTAACATAATACAAAGAATTCAAATTACATGTATGCTTATTTTTCTAACTTAATTATATTCTTTGTTTATAAAAAATTTTGATGATTGTGGCTAATATGCAATAGAGTCATGAATATATAATACTTTTGGTAAAACATGATATTATCAATATTTGATATGTTAGAGTTCAAGTTATAAATCAAATAGTGTTTCGTTCATGATTTCAAATTCAATTCTAAGGGATATGTCAACTACATTGGAATGTTTTCTGTCTCTTTTCATTTAATAAAATTTTTAAAAGTAACTAGCTTAAAAAAATAAATAACATAAAAATACTATATTACGATGTTGATGATCAAAATTTCATAAAAAATTTTTAGTATCTAAAAAATAATATATTTTAAGATATTACAATAACGTGCAAAGCACGTGAACTATTACTAGTAAAAATAAAAGGTATGAACCATGTACAAGACCTATGAAGCTTGAGTGGGAAACACTTTCTTGAGACAAGTTAATGTTGCTCTCAAGCCATATATCAACGTGTAATGTTAGCAGCCAAAAGATCGTTAACAAAATTCAGAGAAGGGTCAACCCATTCTCTATTTCCAATAGGTTCCTCTTTTTCTTGATTTCGAGTCTGTTCCTCATTTCCATCATTATTTCCAGCCTTTTCTTCATCATTTTCAGCAGCTTTCTCATCATTTGAACCTGGTTCTCTAAGAGGGAACAATACAGCCCAGAATACAAACCAAATGAAATTTGCAGCACTCAGGACAGCAAGCACCGAATAATAGCGATCCAGGCGACCTGGTTTAATGTGTACTGAAACCAATTCCTTTTTCCCCCTTTTTCACTAACTTTACCTACAACATAAACTGATAAAACACTTCCAACGATTCCTAGCCCAGATAATCCAGGACTGAGGTATACAAGGTACTTTTTCATCGAAGGAGGACTCTGATCAGTCAAGAAAGGGGTAACATTGTTTTCATAGAGCGAGTCCAGACCAGCTAGAAGAAACTATTGTGGAAGAAGCACAAACACACTCAAAGGGATCTTATCTTCCGGTTTATCTAGCAGTCCATGACTTCTGATCACATGTATCCTTCGAGTTTCGATTCCAGAAGCAGTTATGCAACATAACACTGAGAAGATTGTAGCAAGCGCAATGCCAATTGAGGGGGCATACTTTTCTTTGCGTGCTCCTCTTAAGCACCTTCCAATAGCAGTGTAAATTAACTTAATCAGTGACTTTGATATTTCATAGAACACCAGATTGACTGAGTTAGGCAACTTTAGTTTTCCAATCTTATAATTCATGTGGTTTGCTTGCTCTACGAAGTATGTGTTTCCAACAGAAGTAATGAGACCACAAATTACAAAGGTGATCCTAATTGGCATCATGCGGATTATGATTTTTGTCTCCTCCACTTCTGTCCGAGTGCACAGTCTCAATCTATGCTTTTCTGGTTCTTCAATTTCAGTCGTCAATTGGATGGCAGCCTTGTCTAAGAAACTGAGTGAAGTGCATAAAATATAAAAATGAGCTAGAGCCAAGTTAAGGAAATTAAATGCATCATGCTTTCTAAGTATAGAACAGGATATAATAAACTCAGATTTTGACTAATTGAGCTTAGAGAATATAAAATTATAAATCTGATGAAATTTTCACAACTCTAAAACCTTTCCACTGGCAATGTATATATTTGATTGGAAAGCATATGAACTATTAGATATTCGCAAACTATTGTAAGCCATTGGTACTATTTAGATTGAGAAACTAGAGTTCCATGAATTTAGAGGTTGGCGGTAGTTACAGCATGGATGTGCTTCTTACTAACTTTGGCATACAACCATGCAACTTGTTGCACCACTATCAAGACCCAGTGTACGTGAACAAAATTCACAACTAAAACAACATCACTGCAGATCGGATTCTGTAAGAAATGTGCCAATTATGACAAATCTTAACCGTACCTTGCCTCATCTCAGGATTTTAATGGATCATTGACCGGAACAAAGTTTTTATAAGCAAACAAGTTAATCTATCTTGGGAAGGTAAATAATGTATAGAGAACAAAATACTAGTGGAAAAGTTTTGTCAAACCTGAGTAGTCCCTTGGTATGAGGCAATTTTGGAGTGTTGGTGTCTTGATTCTCATAAAGCTCTGAATATTGCTTAGGATCTTCAAACATTTTGCGTGTGGAGGCCACAAAGACTCTTAAAACATTGGTTACTGGACTTCCATCTGGTTTACTTTCCCCTTTGTATGAACCTGTACCCTGCAGAAATGCAAGGGTTGCCACCAATGTACATATTGCTGGGATACCAAACCGAAGTGACCATGGTTTTATATATGGTAGAGCAATTAAACCAATAACAGGGACAAGGATTATAAAACAAGCGCCAAGGAGTTTCACTCGCTCTTTTTGCACAAGGGCCAGCATTGCTTCTATTGGTTGGAATTGAAGTTGTGATATATCAACTTCAGTTTTTGGAGTACTCTCACCTTGCTGCTGCTGCTTCTTTCTCTTGTGATAATTGACCATGAAAGATGGGGTTCGTAAGTTTGGCATATATTTCAATTTTCCATCAGGCCCTCTCCTGAACTTGTATAGGAAGGACTTTGAGCTTCGTTCAAACTTCGGCTCGTTGACTTTAGGTTCATCTGGCTTCTTTTCAATCTGATTGTCTGCGAATGCAACCAGTGAGACAACATGTCCACTTAATCCAACTGCTATCAATGCTAAAGCTGTGTAAAAGAGGGCCTTTTGTGTATGACCAAGGCAATTTGGCTCGTAACCTTTACTGGTCCCTGTGGCCTTGTGTAGAACTGGTGGTGTTGACATTGATAGAAATCCCAAACCCTGTCAATAGTTGCAGGCATGATTAATTCAAGAAAGGCCAATCATCATCTTTAGCTAATGTTCTTGAATAACAATGTCACAAGTCCCTTTTAAAGTAATGTTCGCGCATACTTCAAAAGGGACAAAATTAGCATTGGGACCGAAGATTCCTATCTAATCCCAGCAATTGATCACGGCAAAAGACATTTTCTTTTTAAGAGATTGCACCAGCTGGATTAATTTAAGTTCTTGCATCAATAGGCAGAACTGACTTTTGTATTTTCAGTTTGTTACAGGCGAATATTCAGCTATTAAGGGTTATAGAAGTTAAATCATGGAACTATAACCAGCGAATATCGAGCTAACCAAGGGCTATAAAGGCTAAATCATGAACTCTAACAGTAGATTAGCAAGTATATTCAGTTCAATTGAAGAAGAAAGTAGGTAAAATATAGTTGCCCAGCAGAAGAACTTACAATTGAAAAGGCTGTACTTGAGAGGAGCAGATTCCAGTAGTTACCAAGGCCAGCATCCACAAAGATGAAAAGCACTAATGGCAGAAATTTAGTTAGGCCAGTGTAAATATTCATGATTCTAGCAGCATGAGTAAATCCAAGTTTCCAAACATTTGTTAAGTATGTCTGCATTATCCACATCACATATGTTGCAAGCATATCTGCCCATAACAGAACTGCCAACAGAGCAAGAAATCAGCAATATCTTATGCAGAAGGGCCAAAAGCACCTATGAACAAATCAATAAGCAGAAAAGTACTGAATAATCAGGGATGAGAAGAATTACCCATTATTCTGAGAAATGCCATTTTCTTTGTGATCCTTATGGATTCTCCCTGTCCTTCGGCAGAGAAAAGATGAAGAAAAAACAGAAATAGGACAAGGAGAAGTTCAAGAATTCCACGTTCTAGCCACAGAAAGCTAAAGAAAGCTGCATTGATGTTGAATTTAGTTATTCTTTACCTCAAATTCCGGTCTGTCCTTGCTTCCTGGAGCCTGGAGGAGGAGAGATTGAGAGAATTTCTCTGCAAGAAGTCAACTACTGTGTTCTTTCACTTGCTAACTCAGCTGGAAGAAAACCACCTGGAAATGTATTTAAATAGTCCAGTACAGACTGCAGAGAGGACAAGTTGATGCCGTGCCATGCCGTGCCAATTATGGGGGAAACCTTTATGGTGGGAACCTGCCTATGGTAGGAAGGCCGGCAGAGAGCGACACGTGTTGATGTTATATACAGTCCAAACGGAGACGTTAAATTGTTGCACAGCACGTGAAGAGGAAATATACGAGAATCGTCTGCGGATGCAATCAGAAAGCACACTGACTTCCGTACGAGTTGGGTCAGAAAGTGTTATTGCATGTTAAAATCAAAGGCATTTATGTATTTGCAAATGTACCTATTACTGATGGAAAAATGTTGCAAATGCCTTGGACAAAAAATGTGCGTAAAGAAGGTACCGAAATTTTAAGAAATAATAAATGATTATCGCATACGCGTGGGGGATAATAATTTGGAAGAAGGAAAAGTGGAGGTAAACGAAAGGATTCAAGCCTTCATTATATTTATATACATATATAAATTTAGTACCCAAGTGTTCAGCTTAAGCATCCAGGAAAATGGTCCCATAACTATCGATACGGTAAACAACACAGTTTTAGATATGATATAATAGGTTCTAAAAATTTTAGCGACCATTTGATTACCCGTTAAACCTATCCACTTGAATAGGATTATGGGTAAAAATAAGGGAGTAAATTTGTCATTCAAAATAGTAAGTTAGCGTAATAAATTAGTAACTTTTGCAGTCGAAAAGGTAAATTGTAAGTAATATGAAACATACTTTTTAAAGAGATAAATTACAATAGTATATCCCAAATATACTTTTGAGGGAGTAAGTTTATTTGAAGTAAAAATATGTTTTTATACAGAAATAATGAGTTTTAGTTGTAACATAGTAAATTTGATTAATGACAAAAACATGCTAATTTATGGCCATAATATTGTATTATGCTTAAAAAACTTATACGAAGCCCATATTTTAGAGTTATTTGAAATAACACAAAAATGTATTATTACTGATTAAAACTGAGTACGTTACTTGTCAATACAGTTATTATACTTGTATACATACTTGCTGGTATGTGTATAAATAAGCATTTTTGAGATTTATGGGGAAATTGATTTTTTCTTTTGCAGTTTAAAAAAAAGGCAAGCGAAAATCTTTTTTCTTAAAGCACAAAAATCCACAAGTCAAAGTTCTTGGTCTAAAGGGGAAAGAAACATTCTGAATATCATTGTTTACAGTACTAAATAAATTAGATGTAAAATGCTCGTTAAAAGCAGGTGCGTTGACATATAATAAAGGAAAGACATAAAGAGCAAGCCATTTATGAGAAAAGTTATCATTCAAAAAAATAGCAACGCTTTACGGTTTTCTTATCAGTCTTGCAACGTATGAGCAAAATGGCAATAATTAAAATAATATTTTATTCGAATTATACATATTTCATTAATTTTTTTCCATTTAAAAAAATGAATGAGAATCTTTTATGAGAAAGCACATAAGTCAAAAGAATGGTGTAAAAGGGAAAAGAATAGCATATATATACAGTACCTATAGTTTATGTTCGAAGGACTATAGTGCTATTTTTTAAAAATATCCCGAAAAATATGTAATCGAAACGGAACCGATTCTTCACTATTTAAAATGTCAAATCTATGATTGTGTTGTAACTGTTATCTATTGGTATCGTAAAGTATCATTTTTCCATAAAATTTCACCTCTTTAACACCAATTTTCCCGTAAACCAATTTATTTATCGGATAAAATACATGAAAATTCAGTTTTGAATAAAACAGTAGCTGTTTATGGCTTTCCTCCATTATAAGAACAGAATACCCATTTTTGCATAAATAAATTTATTTATCGGATGAAATAAAAATAAATCCATTGTTCAATAAAACACTAACTCTTTGTGGCTTTCCTCCATTATAAAAACAGAGTATCCATTTCAGCCCCTCTAGAAAAATTCCACCTCTTTAACACCAATTTTTCTATAAACCAATTTATTTGTCGGATAAAATACATGAAAATTCGATTTTTCAATAAAACACTAGCTCTTTATGGCTTTCCGCCATTATAAGAACAGAGCACCCATTTTTGCATAAACAAATTTATTTATCGGATGAAATAAAAATAAATCTATTGTTCAATAAAACACTAACTCTTTATGACTTTTCTCCATTATAAAAACTGAGTACCCATTTTAGTCTCTCTAGAAAAAAAAACTTGGCTTTGTCACTGACTGAAATGTTTGTAACTGAGATTTATCCTTAGTGAAAAAATGTATGATACGTAATTTTTTCACTGTATTGAATTTATATGATGGCAAATTAAATGGGTCAATTGGATTAGTGTGCAGCAGTTTTGTGAATGATTCCGAGAGTAAACTATATTATGGCAATAAAATACATTGAATTGTGAAAATTATAATTTCAACATGCTCCTAAATTTTGGATATGTGACTTTCGCTGTTGCGAATATCTTAAATTAACAGTTAATTATTACTATGAGTAATGTGGTAAGTGTGAGATGTGAATGTCAGTAATAACTGTTAGTTAATACTATCAGTAAAGTCAGCAGTAAATGTGAGATGTTAATTGAAATTTACAGATATTAATTTGACATGGTTGGTTATTATCTGTTAGTTAAAATTCGGGAGTTTTAATTTATTGGTTAGTGGGGGAAATGTGGGAAAAACATGAGCATGATTATAGGATTTGTACGAGCAGTTAAGGATTAGTTGTGAGATAAACATTTCTTAATTTTAGAAATGTAAAATTGTAATAAAATAGTATTCGAACTTTTGACAATTTGAAAAGCTCCTTATCTAAAATTCTCTCTGCAATACATATAGACAGATATAGATGTCTTTTTTTTAGTGGTTGAATGTCATATTCGCGAACTATCTGCAGAAAAAAATAAATTTGTAGACTAAACTAATTTTGTTATACCAACTCTGTTATTTGACAGGTTGTCGAAGCCTGCACAATAATAAAATTAAACCTAATTGCCAGTTAAAATGACCAAAACCCAATTCCAAGTACTGGAGCAGGGACTCTAGGTGTGCAATGGGTTACTTGATTCACCATGTTCCCGAAGAGTTTGCTTGATCCGATATACCCGAATGGGATGGTTTTTTTTTCACAAATAATTATGAATTTGTAAATAGGGCAAGTAGGGTCGTATCCTCAGGGACTGGGTATATTTGTCTCTTAAGAAATCCAAAGTAACACAAGGGGTGATTTTGTAGGAACGATGACAATCAAATAAATTCAAATAAGAAAATAAAAATAAATAACTAACTAGAAATTAAACAATAATTCACTGAACTCAGAGTAACAATAATTAAAGGCCTAAATCAATTAAAACAAGAAAACACTTAAAAATAAAATAAAGTAAGCAACTAAAAATCAAACGGCAATTCACTAAAATCAAGGTAATAGTAATTAATGATCTAGCCAAGGATTAACTTCAGCAATGGTTCACCTAATTGATCATCGATGCAAAGGCAATCCCAATTATTTATCAATAAATAGGTTATAACTACCAAACAAGCGATGGCAGTCAACCCTTCCTTACTGTATCGGTGATTAAGATACGCCCGTTAATCACTGCTCTAATTAGGAAATAATCCCACGTACGCCCGTAAGATTTAATTCCCCAATTGCCTTACGTATTAGAGGAGCTCTATTCTAACCAAACAACTCACTACCAGGGTTATTTCAGATTAGCCCGCATATCCCCCTGACACAAATCTAATCGTGCCAGTTGTCACTATTCCAGGACAATTAAACAATTACGGATTTAATGTCCTAATTGACAAAAGATTACCAAATCAATTAATTATCTGGATCCAAGACAATCAATTAATTAAATAACCACAAGCATAGCAATCAAAGAATATGCGAATACCAATAAATAAAAGGAAAAGATTAAATTAAATCGATCTCGCAATGTTTAGGCGAATCAAAACCTCCGTTTTTCCTTGATTAGAGTGAGGAAATTAGTTCATATCTGATGTGAAGAATCCATACAAAATTGAAGAGGGAGTAGCGGCCATCATCCATTGAAATTTGGAAAATCTAACTCGTCCGAATATTGAATAGATAGAAAAGCTACAAAAGGCAATTCATAGTTTTCACTTCGTCTCCCGCACGAGAAGGGAAAAAACTACTAAAAGCCTCTAAGGAAGAAAGGTCAAAGCCAAGAATGGCTAAGTGCTCCTGACATTCGTAAGTCCAAAGCCAAAAAAAAGGTCCAAAGGAAAAAGTCCACAAAAGAGTATGCTAAGCTAGTCATCTGCCATCCTAATTCTAGTCTATTGCTCTCGTCTCTAGTTGCGGCGGCACACCAGGGAGAAGAAGCCCTTCGTCCGTCATCCCATTGCAGAAATTACCAAAATGGGCGTGACATCTTTTTTTTCAAAAATGCCCTTGGGACAAGCTCTATCATCTGGACTCCTTTTTATGTCAAATTGGCACCTGTTATTATATTTTCGTTCTATTTCCTGAAATAAATGCAAAATGCTAAAAATGAGTAGAATCCAGCAATTAATCCACATCATGTCAGGTGATAGGAAAAATTAATAATAAAATAAATGAGAAAATTATACCCTATCAATAAATTTTTTTTTTATAAATAGGTACTCTGTTCTTATAATGGACGAAAACCATAAATAACTAGTGTTTTATTGAAAAACGGGTTAATTTTTATCTTATCTGATAAATAAATTTTTTTATGAAAAAATGGGTACTCTATTCTTATAATGGAGAAAAACTACAAAGAGCTAGTGTTTTATTGCATAAAAGGTTTATTTTTTTTCATCCAATAAATAAAATTTTTAAGGGAAAACGGGTGTTAAAGAGGTGGTATTGGATGAAAAAATGATACTTTAGAATACCAATGGATAACAGGTAAAACACAATCACAGATTTGGTATTTTAAATAATGAAGAATCGGTTCCGTTTGCATTACATATTTTTCGGGGTATTG